TGTGACACCGACCCGGGGATCTTATCCCCATATTCGCTGCCACAAATCAAGACAACGCAGTCTTTTGGGGGTCCACAGATCCCTGTGAATCAATGAACTACAAGTACCGACAGCCTTTGCGGCTGTCAGCTTATAGTTCTCAATTAGCTACCACTCCGCTGTTGAGTGCTTTGGTAGTTCGACTCTACTTGTATGATGTCCAGGCAGACAGATTACACTGACAGTCTGCAGGAGACCTGCATGGCACCAGTGATCTACTGATCACTGCTGCAATGCTTTACAGGCTTCTAAAAAAAATAAAAAAAAAAATTGTATACGCATGTTTTACCTGCAAAAAAATGTGCATTTATTATTTTTGCTAAAGGGTGAAATAATCCTTTAAAACATACAGGGAGGAATCAATAGCCACCTGCCTGCCAGCTGCCCTCTGAAAAGCAATCCACCATGGATCACTTTTCAGAGGGGTGGCAAACGTAAATGTGTTTTAAAGAAAGTATACCCTACCACTGGCAGTGATTTTGTTTTACAACTGTTGAGGAGATAAAAATCATATGAAAACGAATGCAATCAAATTAAAAAAGGGCACAGAACTGTATCCAAATTTACAATGTAAAGGCACCTCTGCAGCTCGAGTGTCCTGATTGCCTTTACAGTAAGTATTTACACTGCAATTATGTTCGCCTTTGTAATGTGTTTGTGGTGCTTTTGTTCCATTTGTGGTGTGTTTTTTTGGCATTGTTAATGATTTGCATTTTCATGTGTTTGTGATGTTTTCATGTGCATTTGCATGCATTCCAGTACATTCACAGGCAAAAAGATGCATGCTGTCCTTTTTTAAACACAGCTGAAACAGCCACAGTGGTATAAACTAGGCTTGTTTTTTCTTCTATATGTGTTTGTACTGCATTTAAAAATGCCTTTGAGAGCCAGTTCACACCATAAAAACAGTCTGGATGCGTTCCAGATGTGTATCTGTATGCATGTTTTTTGACACATTCCAGTGCATTTTTATGCATTCTGGTTCATTTTTTTCCCCTTCCCTTTTTCTAAAACTGAAATAAGGACATGTGCGTTCTGGTGTGTTTTTGGTGCAGTTTTGTGTTTTACTGCTTTCCAGTACAATTCAATGCAGAAAAAATGCAGCGTGTTCTACTTTTTGTTCTGGAACTGGAATGCAATGAAACTGACTGCAGTGTGTGAATTATGCCATTGGAAATCATGTAACCCACTGTCAATGCGTTTTTGATGCAGAAGAAAAAAAAACACAAAAAAAAACGCACTGCATATGGTGTGAACTGGCCTGGGCTGCATCTGCTGTAGGCTCCATGCACACTGGGCGTTTTAATAATGCTGGTAAAGTTAGCAGTGTAAATCATGTTATAAAAGTGAGTTTTTCAGCGTTTTTGTATTAACGGTTAGTGCCGCCTTCTTTAGGGATTTTCTTACCCCCAAAAAAAAGACCAAAAACTCTGCTAAAAAAACTCTAGAAACCCACTAGTGGAAGAAACGTTGATTACAGTCTGTGTGCATGGACACATAGGAGAACATGCTGGGTGGGGGGTTTACTGGCTGTAGGAAAAAGCGTCAGAAACAGCCGCTGCAAAAACGTCCAGTGTGCATGACGATGTAAAGTAACACTTGTGCTTTCATGCTTGACAAACAAATCTGTATTCCTGCTTAGAAAACTGTAGGTGTGATTTACTGAGAAATAGAAACCAGACTGGAGAGATCAATTCCAGAGCAACACACAGAACAGCAGCTCACCTGCCACCCCTTTGTGTCAGCCGCCCTCCACCTATGGATAGTCACTGCCGTGGGGTCACTGCGCCACCTGCTGGATGTAACAAGGAACAACATTCGCGTCTTATACAGTCACCCGGTAATTCCACTGTACTGCGATAATTATCTATACAACACCGAAAGGTCTGTAGATTTTGTCAGGCGGAATAATAGCGTGCAGTGATGCCGAGTGTACAGTGTGCGCTCTCTTCACGGTCTCCAGGCCGGTCATAAGTGTGTGCGCAGTGTTTTATTTCAAACGTGGCGGTAAATATACACATTGCAATAGTGTAACACATTGTACAAATGTCATACATGGCGCACACTACACGTGTCCCTCAGTGTCCGCTCTGTGCGCTGGACGTTCTAGTGGGCTCTATTCCGTTACCTCAGCCAGGGAGACTTCCCGCCGCTCCTCCCGCTCACAATCAGCCCCGCCCCAACTGGCAGCTGCTCCACCCTACTCAGCCCCGCCCCTGCCCACCTGTGTTCAGACAAGAATCAGCGCTGCTCTCAGGTACGTGCTCCAGGATGCTCCTCTATGGATCCTATACTTCGTATAACTCTGTGTGCGGACAGACTGACGGACCTCTTATAGATCCTATACCTCGTATAACTCTGTGCGGACAGACTGACGGACCTCTTATAGATCCTATACCTCGTATAACTCTGTGCGGACAGACTGACGGACCTCTTATAGATCCTATACCTCGTATAACTCTGTGCGGACAGACTGACGGACCTCTTATAGATCCTATACCTCGTATAACTCTGTGCGGACAGACTGACAGACCTCTTCCTATAGATCCTATACTTCGTATAACTCTGTGCGGACAGACTGACGGACCTCTTCTTATAGATCCTATACCTCATATAACTCTGTGCGGACAGACTGACGGACCTCTTCTTATAGATCCTATACTTCATATAACTGTGTGTGCGGACAGACTGACGGACCTCTTCTTATAGATCCTATACTTCATATAACTCTGTGCGGACAGACTGACGGACCTCTTCTTATAGATCCTATACTTCATATAACTGTGTGTGCGGACAGACTGACGGACCTCTTCTTATAGATCCTATACTTCATATAACTCTGTGTGCGGACAGACTGACGGACCTCTTCCTATAGATCCTATACTTCCTATAACTCTGTGTGCGGACAGACTGACGGACCTCTTCTTATAGATCCTATACCTCGTATAACTGTGTGTGCGGACAGACTGACGGATTTCATCCTATACTTCGTATAACTCTGTGCGGACAGACTGACGGACCTCTTCTTATAGATCCTATACTTCATATAACTCTGTGCGGACAGACTGACGGACCTCTTCTTATAGATCCTATACCTCGTATAACTCTGTGTGGACAGACTGACGGACCTCTTCTTATAGATCCTATACCTCATATAACTCTGTGTGTGTGGACAGACTGACGGACCTCTTCTTATAGATCCTATACCTCGTATAACTGTGTGTGCGGACAGACTGACGGACCTCATCCTATACCTCGTATAACTCTGTGTGGACAGACTGACGGACCTCTTCTTATAGATCCTATACCTCGTATAACTCTGTGTGGACAGACTGACGGACCTCTTCTTATAGATCCTATACCTCGTATAACTGTGTGTGCGGACAGACTGACGGACCTCATCCTATACTTCGTATAACTCTGTGCGGACAGACTGACGGACCTCTTCTTATAGATCCTATAGTTCATATAACTCTGTGCGGACAGACTGACGGACCTCTTCTTATAGATTTTATAGTTCATATAACTCTGTGCGGACAGACTGACGGACCTCTTCTTATAGATCCTATACTTCATATAACTGTGTGTGCGGACAGACTGACGGACCTGTTCTTATAGATCCTATACTTCATATAACTCTGTGTGCGGACAGACTGACGGACCTCTTTCTATAGATCCTATACTTCCTATAACTCTGTGTGCGGACAGACTGACGGACCTCTTCTTATAGATCCTATACTTCGTATAACTCTGTGCGGACAGACTGACGGACCTCTTCTTGTAGATCCTATACCTCGTATAACTGTGTGTGCGGACAGACTGACGGACCTCTTCTTATAGATCCTATACTTTATATAACTCTGTGTGCGGACAGACTGACGGACCTCTTCTTATAGATCCTATACCTCGTATAACTCTGTGTGGACAGACTGACGGACCTCTTCTTATAGATCCTATACTTCATATAACTCTGTGTGGACAGACTGACGGACCTCTTCTTATAGATCCTATACCTCGTATAACTCTGTGTGGACAGACTGACGGACCTCTTCTTATAGATCCTATACTTTGTATAACTCTGTGCGGACAGACTGACGGACCTCTTCTTATAGATCCTATACCTCGTATAACTCTGTGTGGACAGACTGACGGACCTCTTCTTATAGATCCTATACCTCGTATAACTCTGTGTGGACAGACTGACGGACCTCTTCTTATAGATCCTATACTTCATATAACTCTGTGTGGACAGACTGACGGACCTCTTCTTATAGATCCTATACCTCGTATAACTCTTGTGTGGACAGACTGACAAACCTCTTCTTATAGATGTTATATCTTGTATATTTTATAGAGTGATTCTAAAGTATGTTAATCACTAAACCACGCCAATTGATGCTTTTAAATATTCAATATTATATCCAATCAGCTGCCACTTTAACCACTAGCCTACAGGGCACTTATACCCCCTTCCTGCCCAGGCCAATTTCCAGCTTTCAGTGCTGTCGCACTTTGAGTGACAATTGCGTGGTCATGCAACACTGTACCCATATGACATTTTTATCATTTTTTTTTGTGACAGGTAGAGCTTTATTTTGGTGGTATTTAATCAGCTCTGGGCTTTTTATTTTTTCTTAAACAAACCAAAAACCACTGAAAATTTTGATAAGAATGTTTTTTCTTAGTTTTTTCTTATAAAATTTTGTAAATAAGTGATTTTTCTCCTTCACTGATATGCGCTAATGAGGCTGCAGTGATTGGGCACTGATAGGCTGCACTGATGGACACTGGTAGGTGGCACTAATGAGGAGGCACTGGTAGGTGGCACTAATGAGGAGGCATTGGTAGGTGGCACTGATGGGCATTGACATGCATCACTGAAAGGCAGCACTGATACATGGCACTGTTAGGCGGCACTGATAGGTGGCACTGATTAGCATTGATAGGTGGCACTGACTAGCACTGATGGGTGACACTGAAAGGCAGCTCAGATGGGCACTGATATGTGGCATTGATGTGCACTGGTAAGCACTGATATGTGGCATTGATGAGCACTGGAAGGTGGCATGGATGAGTATTGACACAAGGCACTGATGGACACTGACAGGTGGCACTGCTGGGGTTACACTGATCATCAGGGCACACTGATTATCAGTGCTCTGATGATCAGTGTACATGTCCCCTCCACGGAAAGCCAATTACCGGCTCTCCTCTCCTCTCGAGCTGTCAGCGTGATCGCTCGAGAGGAGAGAAATGCCGATAACCGGCATTTCCCTGTTTACGTGTGATCAGATGTGATTGGACACAGCTGATCACATGACCGAGCCGACATCTTCGGCTCTTTCCGTGATCGGTGATCCGCTGTGTCCGAGGGACACAGCGCACTGCCGATCGGCGCTCTGCACGCTTCCTGAGCCACACGTGTGGTGAGAATTGGAGGATGTCATATGATGTCCTCCCAGAACGAGAGAACCACCTTGCGTCCGTCATATTACTATATGGCGGGCAGGAGGGGGTTAAATATGTAAAACTTATTTTAAAAAAATACCACTCCTAATATTGGTGATAATTAGCGGCGCATTATATATATATATATGTGTCACATTAATTCCTTTTGATTGTCTCTATGTGCAAACTCATTTACACAAATATTAAGTGACATAAATTATAAGTGACATAAAAATATATGTAACAAAAAATAAACAAGCAAATTATATATGATATAATTGTGCCCACAAAACACCATAAAATATAAGTCCGGTGTAATTAATAATTCCAAAAAAAGTCCAAACAAATCTTCCACAATGTGAATCCTCTGTGACTCCCAGTGCAGAAATAAATAAACCACGTGCTGTGCCTTTCATACACCCCCTCTTAGGTGTGCACTCACCAGAATATAGCTTTTAACCTCCCTAGCGGTATTCCCGAGTGTAGCTCGGGGTAAAATGTCAGTACCAAAAGCGGTAACCCCGAGCTACACTCGGGCTTACCATGCGGCGCTGCATAGGGAGTCCCTGCAGAGCTTACCTTGTCCTTCGCTCCCGCGATGTGTCCCCTGCAGCGTTCCCAGCCATCTCCTTCGGCCGATGCTGGCATCTGGCTTCTGTGTTCTGGTCCCTGTGACGTCGGGACGTACGGGCACTGCCGCAGCGGGAAATTTGAAAATTTTAAAAAATGTCATTTTTTTCCAAACAAATTTTACATAGTAAAACATTGCTGTTTCAACCCATTTCACATACATTTTGTCCCTAGTGCTTTGTCCTGTGCCCTGCCTGCATTTTGTCTGTTCTTTCTGCCTGGAAACTGAGAAACGTCCATGGCGTCCAAAAAGCATCCCTTTAGGTCAAAAGTGGTTTTAGATCAGCTAGAGAACAGCGATAGTAAATCAGAACCACTTGCAGAATTGAGTGATAATGATTTGTGGGGAAATTCGTCATCAGACACTGAAAACGATTTTGGGACTTTGCTCAGCGATGTGCGAACTTGGCGCTCTATTTCAAATTTCAGTGTTTTTGGTTTGATTATATTATTGAATTAAATGTATTATTATTTTTTATGATTATTTATTAAATTATAATTTATGATTTCGTGTTTCAAATTTTATCATACCCGGGATGTTTAATAGACTCTTGTTCGGACAGATTTCAGTGAGTTATTCCTAAAAATTACAGGCCTACAATAAAAAAACTACATATTTCCATGCAAAAAAATGTACCGCTTTCAGCACCAAAAATGTGAAATAATCATACCGCTAGGGAGGTTAATGAGCCTTATTTCACAAATTCCAGAAATCAGGATCATCAGAACACAGCCTTTTTTCCACTTTATACTCCAAATTGTTAAGTCTGGGAGGTTCCTCCAATAATCACCCATGATGAGAATGGTAGCCAGGATCAGAATATATATTCCTCTCCATAGTTACATAGAAAGAAATTCGCTCCAACTGTGTATTACCAAAGGTAAACAATTTTAATAAGCCAAAATATTGCACTTACAACATTCCAAAAATAGTGACGCTTTATTTAAAATAGCCTTTCAGTGAGACAGATATCGCAGGTGCTCTCACCACCTCCGGATCTGCCAGACAGAATGCCGTCTCGTCACTTCCGGTTGCATATCTGCGTCACTACCAGTCCGCTGCACAGTCACACCCTGACTTGTTTCGTCGTACTTGACTTAATCATAGGGGGTGTTGATTGCCTGCGATTTTGCAGCAATTTCACCACCTTTTAGGGTGCTCTTTCATAGGTCATGTAACTAAAAAAAACCACATAAGTACGTGTTTTTGATGGGTTTTCAATGCATTTCAGGCCTGGTTCACACCAATGCAGTTTACGTGTGCATTTTTTATGCATTTTTTAACCACTTGCCCTCTAGAGGATTTACCTCCTCTTCCTGACCAGGCCATTTTTTCTGTTACAGTGCTGCGTTACTTTAACTGACAATTGCGTGGTCTTGCAACGCTACACTTAAATGAAATTTACATCCTTTTTTCCCACCAAAAGAGCTTTCTTTTGGTGGTATTTGATCGCCTGTGTGTTTTTTTTTTTTTTTGCGCTATAAACAAAAAAAGACCGACAGTTTTGAGAAAAAAACAATATTTTTTGCTATAAAACATGTCCAATAAAAAAAATTTTAAAAATCAAATTTGGTCATAAATTTAGGGCAAAATGTATTCTGCTGCATGTCTTTGCTAAAAAAAAAATCCCAATACATTTAAATGAATTGGTTTACGTGAAAGTTATAGCATTTACAAATGGTGGTATATTTTTTTTTTTTACTAGGCGATCAGTGATTTAAAATGGGACTGCGGCGGGCATTCTAACACTCGGGGGAACTGACTTGGTGTCACTGACATCCCCAATGACACCAATACAGTGATCAGTGCTAATAATGAGCACTGACACTGTACTAATGGCACTGGGCAGGAAGGGGTTAACATCTGGGCGATCAAAGAGTTAACTGAGTGCTATTTCACGTTATATGCTGTGTGTGCTTTCAACTGTAAGCACACTGCTTTGTAGCTGTAAAAAGCAGTGAGCAGGAGCTGACAGGGGAGAGAGCTGTATTGTTTACATACAGTTCTCTCCCGTTGGTAATACTCTGTGATCACCGGGTGCCGGTGAGTAATCACCAGCCGGGATCCAGTTATTGACAGCCAAAGCAACGCACAGTGGCGCATATATATATATATATATATGATTTTGCACACCCATGCCGCACTGTAGCAGTTTTGCAATTTATTTATTTATTTTTGGCCAACTTGTTGCTGGGAAGAGTAAAATTGCAAACCACATAAAAAAAAACGCAGCACATGCCTTTTATGTGTTTTTTGCTGCATTTTCGATGCATTTCAGACCTGTTACACAGCAATGCAGTTTGCGCTTTGTCTGTTTTGCAGTGCGTTTTCCGGTTTTGCACGCACATTTTTGATGCATTTCTTGATGCGTTTTTGCATTTTTTTAAATTTTCTTTTTGGCCAACTTGTTGCTGGTCAGATTAAAAATGCAAAAACGCATCAAACATGCAACTTGGGCGTTTTGATGCATTTTTACTGCGTTTTCTATGCATTTCAGGTCTGGTTCACACCAATGCAGTTAGCATTTTGTCTGTTTTGTATATTTGCACGTACATTTTTTATGCATTTTTTTGATGAGTTTTGGGGGGACCAACTTGTTGCTGGACAGATAAAAATGCAAAATGCATCAATAACGCGGCAAATGCGTGAAAACGTGTAAAAAACGCACTACGTGCATTTTCTTCAGTGTCTTCATTGAAGTCTATTGAACCAAAAAATGCAACATTTTTCATTTAGAAAAGTCCCTGACCCTTTCCAAAAACGCAGCAGCTCAAAAAATCATAGATGTGAACGTGGCCCATAGGCAACCATGCTAAACGGACTGTAGTGCATTTCTCAATGGGGAGGTGCGTTTTTGATGCATTTTGTTTCTCAACTTGCCAAACATGCAGCAAGAAGGATTTTTAACACCGCAAGGGAAGCACAACATACCAGTGTAAAGATACACATTGAATTTAAAGGGATACATTTTTCTTGAGTTTTTCTTGTGTCTTTTTTCTAATGGAAAAGCGCTGCAAAAACCGCTCAGTGTGAAAGCAGTCTACTGACCGAAAGGTGCTGAAAATAAATTCATATTCATTTAAATTCATGATGTTAATTAAAAAGCCGAGTATAATACAATTATATATAAAAATATATATTTTTAAAAAATTGTGCATTTCAGTTTTGGTTTTCGCCAAATGCATCCTGAATTTTCGGTTTCAGTGCACCACTCTCCTGCCCAGGCCTACATGTCCCATGAGGCATTGTTCCTCACACATTCATATTCACAAGTTCTCAGGCACTTACTGGCATGTATGAACAGTGTACTGAGCTGTATGTGTGCTGTGTATACTGACATAAAAACAATAATGCATTCTGTATGTAGGCCAACAAATTGACTGACCAACTAATCGATTATGAAAATAGTTAACTATTTTCATAATTCATTATAAATGATTATGTTGATTAGTTGTTTCAGCCCTAGTTATATCAACTGGTTAAATCAAGCTCACAGCTGCTGCAATGAAGTGCTTTCTGAAAAAGGTGATCGGGTGGCTCTAGAGCCATTCGGTCACTTTTATTGGGCTGTCAAAGTGCGCCCCTTCCCATCGGCAGTACCCACAGTGGTTCCCAAGCTTTCTTGTTCCACCGGGGAGCCCAGGACCACAGAAAACAGCTTTGTCAGTGAGAACAAGAGGAACTCTAGGAATATCTATTCTTCCTCCTGTAACTAATGGCCCCAGAAGCGATGTGTATTATGTGACTTTCGGGAGTCACAGCTATCATTTCTTGGCTACTGTAGCCAAGAAGGCAGGTATTCAAATATGATCTGTGTTTGAATAGCTACATTGGACATTGGGGGGTCTAATAGTACCCTTCACTTGCCCTTGCTATCATATATGGATAACTTGATATAGTTTAAAAACTTGTTAAATTATGTAGAATTAAAAAAAAAAAATTATAATTTAAAGCACGCCCATCACCACCACACACACACCCCATATTAAAAGCATCATGTAGGGCGATCACATGAATGTAAACATCAATGGCTCCACACATGTATGGTATTTTCGGGAACATCTGTACGGCATTTTAATAGTAATTAAAATATTTAATTTGTTTTAACAAAAAATTGTGTTTTCATTTTATTTATTTCCATAAAAAATCCCACCAAAATCCTCAGCACTAAGCCTATGATGTTCTTAATCCCGCCTGGCTTCACTGTACGAGCTTTGCTGCTGGCCTCTGGATAGGGTTCTCCCAGCACCCTGGGCTCTACCACTTCTCAATAAACACAGGACTCCCTCCAGTCCCTCTATGCTCGCTAGTCACCTCAGCTCTATTGGCCTCTTCAGACTCA